ACAGACTGACCATTGCTTCTGTCTGGGTATCAGCGGTTCTTCACTTTCAGTGTTCGCCTCGGTCTAACTATCCTCAGGTCCCCTTTGTTCTTCATAAGTTATTCACCAGGGAGAGTCAACTTCTTAATAAAGTCAGTTAGAGTGAATCTTCATCTGTCTCACATCCTTCTGAGTTCAGAGTTTTACAAGCTCTGACATCAGAGTTGATGAAAAATTGAACAATATCAAAGGTCGGAAGTTGGGTCCTTAAACCCTACAATATTACAATTAAGAAATATTAATACCAGTTGTAAAATTTGACATTTTTTGCATGATACAATCTAAGTGTAGCATGTTTTACTGGGATTATTTGTGACTTACTAACAGGAAGCTTTGATCTTTTGTGCAGGCCCTGCAGTAGTCTGGCTGTTGAGACCGAGTTTACCTTAAATAGAGGAGCCACACGGCCCACAAGAGCCCACTTGTTTGGTGGCGTTTTTCCTTGTATCTAAGAGATTTTGTTTAGAAGTTGGGGATAAAAGTATTTTTAGCAAGAACTCAAGTGGTCTCTGCTTCTTTTTTCTGCGTTAGGTCAGTGTGTAACAAGTGCTTTTCAAACACTTAAGCTAACATTAGTTTATGTCTGTTTTTCTAAGCCAGTGCAATATCTGATGATCTGATGATGTTCTTATTCCAGTTTCATTTCTGGAAGGCTCAAAGACTACCTTTACCTAACAGTGTAAACAGTGCAAATCTTGAGGTTAGGGGTAGGAGATCTTTGTGGCTGTAGTTTGGTTCACAAAACTATTCTGGAAGTTGGGTTATGCTTTTGTGAAAAAAAAAAAAAAAAGGAAATGCTTGGCAGGTGATGGAATGACCTTCACCAGTTTGTGCGTCAGTTCCAGTTAAAGCACCAAAGTGGAGCGAGCTGGAAAATTAAAGTCTTGCTGGAGCCTGTCAGGAGAAAGAAATCATTTCTCTACTTAGAAAAAAACCCCTCAGCATAGATAGTTGATTTAGTAAATAATCTCTGCCACCAATTTAAGCATCACTAGCCTCATCATTACCTCCCTTCTTAAAACCTAATCTCACTTTTCTGCTGTGTTTTTAACTAAAAGTACTAAAGTCTAATTGCAAAATGTAGCAATTACCACTTTTCTGGGTAAACATAGCATAAACCTTGTGATAATATTTTTGCTCAGAAAACTTGTGAAAGTCTCCACACAATGAGTGTATGAGTGGATTTTGTTGAACTCCTGTTGTAAACATGGCATGATTAATTTAAAAATAATCTAAAATGTTAGCACTGTTACATTGAAACACACTGGACAGGCAGTGTGATGCTGTCCTTAAAACAAGATACGAACTGCAGTGGATTTCCTCTTTTAATTAATTAGTCAGGTTTGGCTTGAACTTACCTGCACATTTTTGAGGAGTAAAAGGAATTTCTGGTACATAGTGAAAGATTTTTCTCTGCAATCCTAAAAGAAATCATGAATTTAGAGCCCCATCATTAGTTTTTAGCAGCTTCCCGGCCACTGAGGTGCATCACTGTTGAATCACAAAAAAAAAAAAAAAAAAAAAAGAAATTAAAAATCATAATAAAAACTACACATGCTAAACCCCTTCTGTCATTGTATCATAGCAGAGAATCTGTGGTGTGTGTATTCAACACATCATTCAGACATTTTATTGAAAATCTCTTCACAATCACAGATTTCAGAATCAATCAGTGAAAGTCATTCCAACAGAAGTCGTTATATATATTCGTTTCATAACAAACATGGCTCTCCCTCTTTTTTCTTCATGAGGTTTTGGCACAAACTACAAACTGTGGGTGTATCTCAAAGTGTGTTTTGCTGACAGGCAGGTTACAGGTCAATGGATTTATAAAGGAAAAAGAGCATTTGACAATATCAATGGAGGACTAGTTCACGCGGCACACTCTACTACACTGAGAGATCATAAATCAATAGAAACCCAAGGTTCATGATTCACAAACTGCTTTGGGCGATGACGATGCTCAGGAGCGTTGTGCGTTGGCTAACTTAAAGTTACCCACTGCTTTGAATCTTCTTTTTATCTGGAGTTATGTTTTACAATATCATCTGCCCACTGTTTAACCTACTTTCATTTTCATGGCTATATATGTGCAAGTTCTTAAAAAGTAAGCTGGAGTTCGACAATCTTTTCCAAAACGTGCTTCCCGTTTCCTGAACTTACACCCTTGACTTGGGGAGAACTGGTAGTGTAGATAAAATACATTAAATGCAACAAAATCATGACACAATAATCACAAAGCTGTACATCCTACGTATAGTTTAGGTACAGTGTATGCATACATGTAAGGACGAGAATATTTGTGGGTTTCCTGTCAGAGCTTTTAGTCGTCTGTTCCTTTGTTGTTGAAAGCACTTGTTTAATTTTTGTACAATCACATCCAGCATCCTTTTGAGCAGTTTCTGACAGAACAAAACAGTTTTATGTACAATATACTATCACCAGTCAGTTTTCTGGTCCAGATTCAAGTGAACATTGCAGCAAAAGGTGCTCTGTAAACCCAAGAAATGACTCCAATCTTTGAAGATGAAACAAACATGTAATGGACGTTAATGTCTTCACAGAAGTGGAACCTGTTTTTAGGGCCTGGAGTTCATCTTTTTCCTTCTAACATAACCCTTTCCCCAACACTGACACTGTTGTTACCGCGGGGGTGAAAAGCATGTTTTGACTTGTAACGCCAGCCCTTGATTGTTCCCTTTATTAAACAATCCCCTCGCTGCGCTTGCTCCTCCACACCACCAGGGCCGTCATGAGGACGGTGACCAGGATGGGAACCACAATGAAAGGACCCAAGATGCGGTTTGGAGGGTCCCTGAGTCGTCGTCCAGACATTGAGCAGTTATGGAAGTAGCGCCTGTGAACCTGGATGAAGAACTCGTCCACCATTCGATTGGGCCAGTAGCAGTTCATGTTCGATGCCAACAGGTATGTGCAGTTCGTTAGCTCTTCATAGAATCTGCAAGGTAGAAACACACAAAGCAAACCAGTCACATACTGAAAAAAATTAAGACATTTTCTTACCATCTGCTCTCCAAGAGCGCAGATGGTGTGCAGTTCACCATAAGCCATGAAGGAAACACAGAAAACCTGCTGATAAGGACACTCTGGTCAGACAAAGACCCTAAGGATACACCCAGAGCTGTATTTTTAGGTGAAATATATTAGTCTTTGAAAATGGCTCAGGCAAAAACCAGCTCTAAATTATATTACGAACAAGGCAAGGCTTAAACTTTAATATTCACTGACACACTCGACCCAGTCTGACTGAACCTGAGATCTTTTGCAAAGAGAAACTGGCAAAAATGTCATTCTGCATGATCAAATCTGGTAAAGACGTACCCAAACTGACTTGAAGTTTAAATGGTAATGTAATGCTTATGCTAACGGGGTCAGATTTTGATTGGTTGTCAGACATAAAACGAGTCTCTTTGTTTAGGGCAATGTTAAATATGACATTCCTTTGGGAGAATAAGAAGAGTTGGTAACAGGCTTTTCAGCTGCTTCTTCTTCATGTTGTTTTGAGTGTAAGATGCATATTATAGAAAGCTAATCAAAGTATATTTTCGTGTTTTGTCCCCACAAAGAAACCCATTTATCTACCAGCACTTCAACTCAGGTTGGCCTGGAAGCAACACGCATTCTTGTTTTCAGCTGTTAGCTTTCTGACTGCAGAAATACACCTTTACAACGGCCATAAAAGAAGATAAACATGGTTTTTATGAGAAGTTTAGTGGTTCACATAAAAGTTTGTAGGAAAGAGACAGCATATTAGTGTTTTTGAATGTGGAGCACATTTCTTATTTTAATTGCTTATGCATATGGAGAAATTCACACTTTTTTATATTTTGTTTGCTGAAAACATCTGTGTACTGTGGCTGGAAACTTGTTTAATGAGACCTCTGGGACCAACCTGAAAGACTAAAGTTGCAGACCTTAAAAGCAGGCACTTTCTAAAATACTTAACATTCACATTAACAACTGCAGAGTGAGTTGGGTAATTTTCCCTCTGGATGCCTTCAACAAGTGTAATCCATCAGGTTCATGCTTCTCAAGCTAAGAATTTACACTTTGACGTTTGATTTGAGCTACAAAGCTCACATTTAAGATGTTCTAGTAATGACTAACATCTTTTGATGATGCACCCCAGCAACAGGTCGTTTTTTGTGGAACAACAGCTGAAGGCTGTTTGGCATGGCACCATCACAACAGAGCACTGTGTGCAGCTTCAGGTGGTGGGTTCACTCCGTCTGGGTGTTTACGTCTTTCTTCTGCTGTTTCCTTGAAGCTTTACAAATCAGTTGTGGTAGAGAAGGAGAGAGAGAGAGAAAATAAATGAATTCTGGTCCCGTTGCTGGTCTAATGAGCGCCACGGTCTGAGGGGGTGTTTCCGAGTCACGAATGGAAAGAAGACACAGCGCAGTCGAGACAGGAGGAATGAACAAAGAGAGATGCCCTCGGTTACCAGTTCACCCCATGTAGCTAAGGTTAGGATCAAATTCAACCTGACACTGTGGCAACTTGGTGTGTATTTCAGTGTGTATTTGTGTTTCTACACACAGTTCACTGAAGGACTGAATGCATTGCCCTACATAATTTGTGTCAAACACTCATTTTACTATGAAATCTGCTCAACCAAAGAGAATTTGTGTTTATGACCGGCATCCATGTCAGACTCCTGGCTGTAGAGTTATCCTACAGTCATATGGGAGAGTTAGTTCGGTTATGGGGATTAAGGCAAAATCTGTACTTTTGCATTTATTGCTGATAAAATATCTACATAAATACTGGCATAATTAGATTACAGACCTTTAAAAAGCGCAAAAGAGCAATACTTATGAAATATGCAAAGAAATTATGACCTAAAATTTGCATGTCTGGGTTTTCACTGGGTCTTTCTCCAAAAATATGAATGTTAGGTGAATTAATAATTTTCTATTACAGTGTTTTTATATTCTATCCCTTCATCTTGTAAACTGTATAGGAAGGAAACATGGCAAATGAAGTTTACAACATCTACAATCACGTCTGATATTTTCCTCTTGGATCAGTGCTGTGACCGTAGGCTGAGGACACTAATTGGCACAGACATGTTATTGCCGTCTAGTTTTCCCACTCAAACAGAGACATTAGGTCCAAGTTCCTCTGGGTACTCAGTTTCAATTCTCAGAGAGACATTCCTCCGGTCAACCTGACCAGATAACATCTTTTTGGATAAACGATGTGGAATGACGACAGAAAATAGACGATGTAAAGCAGTTCCATGTTTTAAACTCCTTTGACCTTCTTTAAATCTAATAAAAGACATTTAATGAATCACACACTGTCATATAAATCAATAAGAGTAAAAAAAAACATATTTCAAATAAAATTATACATTTAAATTGCAGGTATAGAGAGCTGTTAGCAACTCCTCTGACTACATGCTGAAAACTGAATCTCCATTTTAAAACATGATGCTAAATTTATACATGCATTCTTCTGCCATTTCTGTCATAGACTGGAAAAAAAAGATGTTTGTAAACTTAGTCTGAGGCATAAGGGACCTAATTTGAAACATTGGAAGCTTCAAACCATGCATGCTATTTCTGAAGGAAATACATTAAACCACTCAACATGCAAATTGTGTAAAATAAAAAGAAAAGAACAAGAAAATCATTTTGGTGTAAAAGCAGGCAAACAGAAAAACTAAGAAAGATGCAAATCACCAATAAAAAAGGAGATAGCTGGTTTAAATAAATGTGGTTATGATAAATCCCACCCACCATATAAAAGATATTGAGCAGATTAGTCTGAATTAGGCAGACAAACTGCATCCCGAGTAGTTTGATTTGTTAACTGAGAAGCACCTTGATAGTGAATAACTTAAAGAAACACACATAAAATACTCTCCATTAACTGAAGAACTGATTCAGGCCTGTTCCTTTATAGCATACAGAGACACTCGCAAAGGCAGCTAGCTGCAGAGGATAAGTACGTCAGCAGATACATGTGGTGTTTATAAAAAAATAATGAAGCTTTATGACGAGAAGTGCAGCATTTATCACTGCAAACTGTTGGTGAGTGGAGTTATTCACGCAGACTGCCAACAGACATCGTTATCTCCTGCAGTAGTGCAGTTCAGATAAATAATTCTTGTTCTCAATTCGCTTGCATCCACGTGCATACAACATTCCTGGCGTTCATCTCATATTCTCCACTGGCTTTCAATATGTCACATTTTTCCACCTAGAAAACTAAGACGCCATTTGGGAACGGCCTTTACAGAGAATAACCACACATTCTGGTTGTTTGTATCATTCTGCCCTCCCTGTAACCGCAGACTCATATTAAATTTAAAGCAGATTAAATTCAGCCGTGTTAAAGCTTTCTTGAAAATTACATACAGACCGGCGACATCTCTGGGGTCCCACCATGCTGTCAGTCGGGCGTTTAGTCTGGCTCTCCCTGTGTAAAAAACACTGAAGTCTCATGTTTTTGCATGAAGCTGCTTTGACATCGCAGCAGGTGTTCTAACATTGAGTGAAGGCAACAAATGTTAGGAATAAAACTGTAAAAATGTCTCATATTTCACTGTCATGTCTAGCAGTTTCATACCTGTAGCAGAGTTAGTTTGAAAAACCTCCAAGTTGCAATCACAGCTGCTTCACACAGGACTTTACTGTTGCACATAAGCATTAGTTTATCAGCTAGTGCTAAATGAACTGAAGGGAATCTTGTCAAACTTAAAAAGGTGAATCTCTTATGATTTAGTCATCAAACCGTTACCAGACTGCAACCAGTGAACAATTAAAAGGTCAAGCCTCGTTGTGTTTTCGGAGCTTCGACAACATCAGCCCTCAGGGATGATTCTTTTAACTATTTTAACAGCAGCGATATGCTAATTGTCCTTTTGTTTATTATAATAAAGTGGAACATCTGATAAGATACCCGCTACAAGAGAAGTGGCTCAGGAGGCACCAAAGTCTTTTAACAGGAATCAGCAACAGGAGGATTAAAGATTCATGTAATTTCACACATGAATGCCCATCCACAAAGATTTTACAGTTTCCAGTTTGAGTACATAACCTGATATGACTGTTCTGGTTCTCATTAGAGAACCAAGAGAAACTACTTCCTGATCTCCAGTCCAAATAATTTATTCCCTTAAGGTCCACTGGTAAATTACAGAGTCTGAAATCAACCTGTTTAGTAACTAAATGACACAATGTATTGTTGCTTGCTCATGGTAATATTTTCAATTAATTTGATATTAATGGGGAACTTACAAGTAAACAATATTTGGCTAAAATGATGCTCTTTGGCTTTCAATGTACTAAATTTAATCTGTAATCAAAAATAATTTATAGTGTTTTTATTTGTATCTCAATATGAACCAAATCACAGACATAAAACTAAGGAGTGTAACTCTGAAGAAAGTTTTATGTGAAATAGTCCAAACTCTGTCCAAACATTATACTTCTATTTCTTCTGCAGAAAAAATGTGCTTTAATCTCATTAAAGTTACTGTATAATTAAAAAGTTTTGAAACTCACCAGACATTTAATTGTGGCATTGTTTAACATTTTTTATCTGTGACTGGAGATTCAAACCTCCGAAAGATGGAAAATAGTGCCAAACCTTTAAAATATATTTTTTTTACTATTCTTTGTGAAGTAAAGCACTGCCGTCTGTGTCTTTAAAACATCCTAAAGCTGTTTTTAGTTTGCTGTGTTTCTCAACCAGTAAGAATTCATCTTTCAAATCTTGCTTTGGATTGGATGGAGACAGGAAGTTTTAGCTACTTTACTTTTATTTTATTCTTCGCCATGAGGCAGTAACAAATAAGCTTACCTCACTAACAAAACATTTTTCCAATCACTGTAATCTTGTTCTTACTTATTTACCAGGCTTATCTAAATTTTCTTTAAAATCCTCATGGTATTAATATATTTTAAGACCCATCTGTAGAAGGATATG